CTCAGTCACACACACTCACTCACTCACACACACTCACTCACACACACTCACTCACTCACACTCACTCACACTCACTCACTCACTCACTCACTCACTCACTCACTCACTCACTCACTCACTCACTCACTCACTCACTCACTCACTCACTCACTCACTCACTCACTCACTCACTCACTCACTCACTCACTCACTCACTCACTCACTCACTCACTCACTCACTCACTCACTCACTCACTCACTCACTCACTCACTCACTCACTCACTCACTCACTCACTCTGGGGCAGCATTTGGGAGATTTGCGTGGCAGGGGCAGCATTTGGTTGCTGTCTAAAGGGACTGGATGTCTTCGAGCGCGCGGCTCGGGGGCTCAATCTGCGTGACAGGCGCAGCACTTTGGAGATGGCGCACAGATTTCGTGGCAGGCGCAGTATTTTCTGCATCTGGGTGTGTGTTTGCATGGCAGGGGCAGCATTTGGTAGGGGCAGGACGGCTCACAAACCATCAGCCGTCGAAGTTCGCGGCAACAGTAAAGAAGGGTTGCGAAACTCAACATGGCCTTCTGGAAGGACTGTGTGTATGTATGCCTGACACCAACCTGTAAGCCAACCTGATCCAACCTGTCAGCCAGTTTGGCTCAACCTGTCAGCAAATCTGTTCTTATCCTTGTGTGGACAAAGGCTGTCAAACCCTGGTCGATTTATTCAATGGGAGTGGGTTTGTTGGCCACTTTCTGGAGCAGACCGCGACAAGCTCAGCAGATACCGATTCTTGATGCTTGCATCATGCCTCAAAAACATGCCATTTTGTTCGCTTGCCTGTGGGCCACGCAAGCAGTTCGAAAGCGTTTGTTATCTTGAGGTGCCCGATGCAATTGCGTGTCATTGTTCAACACATTGCAGTGTTCCGCAAGGGCAGTTTTGCCAGCCATGGGTTAGGTCTTAGAGACAAGGCAAAGACTCTGATTTGGATGCAGTGTTTATGGCTGCGTTTGAATTTGCTTATGCGGCTGGGTTTCGGAGCGTGTTCGTACATGTAGCGCGCGCCCGTGATTCCAGGCAAGAGTTCGGCTGCGCACTGCTTCGCGCAGCGCCAAGTCAGCTTCCAGCTATTTTTCCCTTATCCCCACACGGCGCGTTGGCAGTAAGTGTGCGTTTGCTTCTTGGAGGCTGTCCAGAAAGCAGGCCTGTACGCGAGCGATGGCAACGTTGTAGCGCGCGCCCACGCTGCTGTTTGGCTGCGCTGCCCGTTGCCATCGAAAGCCCTTTCTGCTTCTGCTCACCGACGCTGATGTTTCCAGCGGATCTCCGAAGTTATACCTGGTCTGTAGCACGGCCATTGCCGCACGTCGATGTTTTTGTTGCCTAGACATATGTGTCCACCCGAGCGCACCGGCGGCTGCTGCTAGGGCCAGGGCTTGCCATCCTGGGGTGACTATGCGTCGCCCAATTGCACGACGGAGCCGCAAGAGAATTGCCTTGCAACTAGTGCGCCGGCGCTGTGCAACAATGCAAGCAGCAAGGCGTAATCCTTTCAGGCAACGCGCGCTATATAATTGCCAGAGCTGGAGGAGCTGTCAGCGACGTCTATCACACCGGCGGCTGCTGGGACGCTCAGCCAACTCAGCAATAGAACCACGCTGCGCAGCGGCGCCCTGCTTCATCGCTCCGTCGCCGCGCGGCAACGTCCAAAACCAGGCCGCCAGCCTGACAGGCCTGTGTTTAATTTGCTTCGTGTTGCAGGGCGATCGTGGCGCTCCAAAAGGCTGTGCTGGCCGTGGACCGTGGCAGCCAGCGTGGGCTGAGCGGCGCAGATAGCAGCAGAGCTTGCTTCAAGCGCCGCGTGCCCTTGCCTCACGCGGGCCAGCTGCGACTTGCGTCGCCCATGGTGGTAAAACTTCGCTACGACGCGCTATCAGAGCCAAGGAAAGGTGAGCGATTCAGCATCTTTGCACTTGGCGCACCGGCGCGAACCCTTGGTGAATTGAAGCGCAGCCGTAGCTCGCAGAAGCGGCGACTGACCGCGCCCTGCGTTTTCCGAAGCAGCGCAAGCTCCCTTCAAGCCCTTCTTCGAGCCCCTTTCGTGAAGGGTCAAAGGGCTTCGGCCTTCCGCTTCCAAGCCCCCCCTTGACAAGTCGAGGAGCGTCAGCCTTCAACCAAAGGCTTGAAGCCCCACCTCACCACCCGCTTTGAAGCCCCCTTTGCCGAAGAAGACCTTCAAGCCCCCCTCAATAAAGGTCCTCCCTGGACGGCGTTTTCGACGTGGCAAGGAATGAGCTCGCCTGCTAGTGCCCCCTGAGCATCGGATATTGAATAGGATCAATATTTTGGCAGGAAAAATATTGATATTGAAATATTGAAAATTTCAATACCCAAATGCATTTTGAATATTGATTTTTTTTGAGCTTTTGGACTGTTTTTGCATGATCTAAATATTGAAATTGAAGCTTCAAACGGGCCTCAAAAATATTGAAATTGAATCTTCACATGGGCTTCAACAATATTGAAATTGAAGCTTCAAACGGGCCTCAAAAATATTGAAATTGAATCTTCACATGGGCTTCAACAATATTGAAATTGAAGCTTCAAATGAGCCTGAAAAATATTGAAATTGAAACCTCAAATGGGCCTGACAAAATGATTAGATATACTGGAAACAAATCCTGGGAGGGGTGGTGGAAACATATCATATGGCGTTGGGCTTGGTTGACACGCTATTTGTTGGGCAAGGGTATTATGAACAATGGTTTGACGCTGGGATGTTGTCTTCGGATGCTTGTTGTGGCTGAGCAGAAGCACTTTGTACTGTAGCTCTTTTCAGCTCAAACCTGTTCAGAGGGAAGGCCTTGCAAAAGGCACAGTGCCAGAATAGCCTTGCAAAAGGCACCCATATATGTCCCATAAAGGAGGGGCAAGGAATTTTGCAAAACCACACATGGACCCTGGTTTAGTGCTCAGGGTGCTGAAAAACAATGAGCATGCTGTGCAGGACTTGGGTCCTTATGAGCTTGTGTCCAAGACAGGGGCTGTAGACCCCTCAGGCCTGGTGAAAGTGGCTGACCTTGTAAAAGGTCTGCTGCTCATTTCCCCATCTGCTGCAATTGCCCCAGGTCCCCTCAGGCAGGCTTTGCTGAGCCTACTGACAACCAACTTGGAGCTAAACACCACCAAGTTCAATGGCCAGGCCTGGTGCAACATAAAGGCAGAAAGGGTAACATGTGTGCTATCCCATGTAAGGAGGCTTGCCAGGGAACCAGAGCATATGAGGGTCTGTGCTGCCAAGCTAACCAGCGCCCAGCTGAAAACCCTGCAAGATATTGTTGCCATGGTCAGCTTTCAGGAAAACGAAAAGCACAATGCAGCCTTGCAAAAGGCAGGGCAAAGCCAGCCCTCACAAGCCTTGGAAAAGGCAAACCCTGAAGCCTTGCAAAAGGCCAGCAGCTCAGGCAGCCAAACCTCCCAGCGCAGAGAGTTGAAAAGAAACTGCAGTGACATAACCTTGGACTCCCAGGGCTACCCAGCCATGTTGAAGACACCTGAGCCTAATGCTGACGCCGAAAGCCAAAGCCTGCAGAACCCATTCAAGAAAAGGAGGCTTGGCTCCCACTGCTCCAAAGATAGCAGCCCACCAGCCTTGTCAGCCTTGGCAGATGACAATGCAGCCTTGCAAAAGGCAATGGGGTTCACTGATGAAAGCCCAGAGCCAAAAAGAAGAGCCAAAGCTAAAGAGAAAACAGCCAAGCCTAGCATGAAGAAGGTTGCAAAAAAGGCTGGGGCCAGCAAGCACCCAACCAAGAAACCTGCAGCCAAAGGCAAAGCTAAGCCTTGCAAAAGGCAGGCCTGGGCCAAACTAAGGGTAACAAAGGGCAAAAACCCTTTGAGAGCTTATATCACAGGCTCCCACAACCCTGGGGACAAAAAGCCCAAGCTTATTGTGGAAGTCAAAGCCAGCTGGAGCAGCCAATACCTCAAAGTCATCGACCTGATACACAAGGAGTTGCAAGGGCAAAGTCTGACAAAAGATGAAGCTCTGGAACTCAGAGAAAAGCTGTGCAAAGCATATACCTAGGCACCATGCCACAGCCATAGCCCTTGCAAAAGGTGCACTGCATCTTTATTGTACACTTCCTTGCCAAAGGACAGTTTGCACTTTGTTTTTGCTTCAGGACTGTTTCACTTTGCTCTGGAGGATGCCCTGCAAGTGCCTTGCAAAAGGCAACTGTCCATGCTTGACAAAGCAAAGCACAAAGAGAGTCTTGTGGAAAAAAGGCATTGCTGCTATCTGCCAAATCAAATGAAAATGGTTGTCCTAGCTTGTTGTGCCCATGTAGTTTGCTTGGGGTATGGTGTTGGGTTTAGAACAGGTGTGTTGGTCAAGTTAAGCAAGCCGCCCCCCCTCCCCCCCCCCAAACCACCACAACTAAAAATGAGGCTCCCCTTGCTCACAACATGTTTTCTGTGTTTTTGTTCGAGGGGGTGTTTCTGCATGGCATTGGCATGTTCCCTCTGAAGCTGTTTGAGCCTCAAGCTACCACAACCTGCATGCTCGTCAAGAGCATTTTGTGTTTGCGCACACCTTGTAAAAGGTGCCCAGGCAAGCCTTGAAAAAGGCTTTGGAGCCCAGCCAGCAATGCCAGATGCAGGGTACAACAACAAATGGAGAAGAGCTGGCAGTGGCACAACAAGTCGGGCCAGGCAAGAAAGAAGGGCAAAGCCAAAGGCCCCCCCAAGCCCAGCGGAGCCAGCCTCAGCAGAGCC